AACGTCTAGGTGTTAAGTAACATACTACAGTTGACAGGAAACAATGCAACATTTTCTAAAAACCCTTAGTTGTTTTTCGAGTAAACTCAGTAAAATCGCCTCACATGTTTCCAACCATGAAATAGTTTAAGCTTATAAAAAGGTTACTGAGTAAGATTTTTAATTTACTGAGAACATTTAACGCCATTTAGGGTTCGTGACGTGACGAAATAGAGTTACTTTAGGTCACTTAAGACAAATACCGGAAACCCGCTGGAATTTTGTGACCGGTGAAAAACACGAAAGTATTTTTGAAAACACGCGAGGATAGCTGTTGGCTTTTCGAGGTGCTCAGCATTGATTTGAATGACACAACCTGTACAGGACATCTTGAAGAATCATTTCACCTAGATGACGATTAGTTCTCTCTGCTAGTCCGTCGAGGGAAACGTCAGAGAAGAAAATAGTCCTCGCGTCACGCGACTTCGCCTCTCGCGAGCGCGTACCAGCCCGGTCATTGAAGCAAGACTCGCGAGTTGGATGCAAGTCATTTAAAATATTTTAACTGTTGGGGAAAGTTGATTTGGCTATTCAGTCTTAACCTATCCTAAATCCCATAATAAATGCTGATTATTTGTTCTTTCTTCAGCATAAGGGAAAAGTCTGCGTTGAAGGTTGGGTCATACCCGCCGTTTGTGTAGCCATTTCCTTCTGTGGTTTTCCGTTCAGTTTAACCCCTCGGAAAAGTCAGTTTTGACCATTCAGTGTTTAACCTCCTTCATAGCTCTAAATAACAGATCATTATTGGTTGGTCATGACCAACAAATAGTTAATAAAAGATTTTAACCAATTGATTTCAGGTTAGATGCACATTTTTACCATTTGCTTAACCATTTGGTTTGGTTATTTTGACTGCCATGAAAAGTTATTTTGACCAGTCGATATTCTAACGGAATTATAACCGTCACAACAACTGCTGATCATTGGTTAATCTAACCAATAACATAAAGGTTACGATTTTAACTAGTTTATTTTAGGTTAAAATGACCTTTTGCAACTGGTTATAACCTTTTAATATAGTTACTATAACTGGTCTGTTTTTACAGTGCAATTTTTTTAGAGGACGATCTTTTAAAAGTCAACAAAATCCTAGGGTTGACATTTTTTAAGGCACGAAAAGACTTGGAATTACACAAAACAGCGTTTTTCCATTTCCTTTTGCCGCGTTTCATGCTAGATGTATTGTTTATACAACCCCCGTTTAGTCGCGTAGAAAAAGCCGTTTCGTGAACTCAGAGTTTCCTAACAAGAAAATTTGACCCAAAATCGAAGTTTATTTATGAAAAACAAATTTGAAGGCAAATGTTTGCAAAAAATTCTACGTTTCAAGTGAACAGGACAAAGAATGGTACAGGAAGACGACGTCTTACCTCGAGCAACCGAGCCGCCATTTTTGTCAACACTTCATGCGAAGAACGACAAAACAAACCCTTTTGGCTCTAAACTTGGCGAGTCGACCGAAAAAAACAAAGCTCTACTTTTCTTCTTCATTTAAGCCATTACGTTGTTGTTTGCGAATTGATAAACTTGTGAATTGCCAAGTTCAACTTTTGATTTGATCCGTCAATCAAATCGTACTTTTTGGTGGTTTCCTCTCTGATTTTCTTGAGATCATTTCGTGTGTATATACTAAAACAATTATTCTTTTCAATCTCGGTGAATAGTGGCTTTAGGAATATTTACCTTGCTGCTTCACACCTTGGTATATATATTCAGCCACTATTCACCTCGATTTCAAAGAAAATAGGTTATACCAGATGGGCATTTTTTTATTTTTAAATTATTACTTCAGATATGGATAAAGTCATATTCTTAAACACTAACCGCATAATTTCGTTCAAAGAAGATCCCTTTGTGCGCAGCTTGATATTTCAAACGTTCCTTGAAATTCAATTTTTTTAAACTGAATGCAAATAAACAACGCATGCGTCATCAACCCAATTAGTCGATCGCTAATATTTAAACAATGTTTTACGTAGACCGTATTTAGGACGATCTTTAAACCTCCACATATCCGTTTTAGTGCTTTAAGAGTTAAAACTGTTTTTATTTTCCTCATATTGGCTAAACTTCGTGAATCGCCCCAATGTGTTTTGTTTCAAGTTATTTTTGCAATGGTCCTTTACTGGAAAACGTTTTGACGTTTCCCACACTCTCCTGCTAATGTCTTGTTACCCAGGAAAACAGAGTGGGTTCTAGAACAATGTCAAGAAATCAAGTCTAGAAGCCTTTTTGATTTTCGAACTTTACTCACTTCAATTCCCCGCCTTATAAACAAATCAATAAAAATCGTAAAATTAAACCTCACCGTATTGTATAACAGTGTTGTAATTAGAATACAAATTTTCTTACCGCAGAAAAGAAAACAACAATTTCCTTTTAAGGCCAGGCATGGATTTTCTTTCCCTCTGACCCTAAACTTTTCAACAAACAACAAGAAGTCAAACAGGAAGACTCAAGCGAAATATCCCTTGGTTATTAATTAGCGTTTCGGGAATGCACATGCTTTGGATTTTAAAGCTTGTCTCGTGTAACCGAAGAAATATAATTGTATCTGGTTGTAGAAAATTTTACAAACAAAGAAATTACTAGGTTGAGTTTGATCGTCCGGGTGAACGTAGTCCTGAATAGGACTTTTGTTGTTGACAGTGACTGACGTTTCGACAACCTGTGTGGTAGTCATCTTCAGAGTGGAGATGACTACCACAGATGACTACCCCACAGGTTGTCGAAACGTCAGTCACTGTCAACAACAAAAGTCCTATTCAGTATTGATGATCAAACTCAACCTACTTTTTAGTGAAATTACTCCTGGGTTCAAACCTTTCACAAAAAAATAACTGGCATGACACAGCCAGCCATTTACTTTGCGGCTCACGGCTAAGTTCGTGACCTTTTTTGACTTCCGCTCTTGACTAATTAGGTAATAATGCCCCTCTTCCTCCCCCCTCCCCCTCAATGCGGTCGAACGGTCAATAAAACAGGAACCCCAAAAACCATTCATACATTTGTCAAAATTTTATAACAAAAAGAAGAACAAATTGCAAAGTCTAATAGGCAGTCGTGTTCCAACCGAAAAAAGGAAAAATCAATAAACCTCACCGTATTGCATTACAGTGTTGTAATTAGAATACAACAAATATTTGTTGCAGGAACAAATCTTTCTTGTGCATTCAGTAATGCCTTAGCAACTCGAGACAGGAAAATATAATGATTTAAAACATCCTTGGGCAGTCACTATAAAAAAGCGGCATCTTACGAGCCGTACTATTTCACATCAAGACCGAGGTTCATAGTTGTTCTGAAGTCACTATGAAGACTACTGTGGCCATTGTATTCCTTCTACAGGTGTCATTAAGATTTGGTAAGTTTCTTTTATGAGAGTATTAAAAATTTCTTTAAATGTTTTTCTGGATAATTCAAGAAGTACGTTGATCAATTTTATTAAGTCAAGTACATCAACCTTTCAGCTGTTTGAAATTCAGCGTTTTCTGATCATTATTTTCTAATCATTCAACGTTTTCTAATAATTGCAATTGACCAAGGTTCATGGTAGTTATTTGCTATTTACAAGATTTACAAGACCGTACCAAAAGAAATGTATTGCAGAGTAATTTTTAGCATGTTCTTTTTCGTGATACACTGTCAAACAAAAATCGCAAACTTATCAGCGTATTATGCACGTAAAAGGTTGTATCGTAGATTTTTATTTAAACAAATCCACGACAGTCGAGATACCCTGCGTTCGAGCGGATGCCGAAGCTATCCGCCCCTCTTTGATGAGAACGAGCCTATTCCAGACCAACGTCGTTCCCAGGGTTGGAAAGAGTGGGAGAGAACCCTGAGAACAGGGTTGGTTCCAGGCCCTCAGTCGATAGATAAGTGCGACTAAGGAAGACTACGACGACGAAGGAAATTTCAATTAAATGAAAGCCTGAGTCATCCAGGTGTTCGACGAGGAAACGTGAAGTAGCTAGCAGATATCGCTTACTTCTTCCATCTCTTATATGATTAAAGCCTGAAAGAATGTCCACTATAATCGCCCTGATTTCTTTTAAAAGGTTTTTCTGAAGCGGCTTGTGATCAACCGCTTGGAATGCAGAACAGTGCCATTCCGAACTCCGCCTTGACTGCTTCCAGTGAGGCAGGCGTTGCTCATAGTCCTAACAGAGGAAGACTAAATTATGCGACACCTGCACCTGCTGCTTGGTCGTCTGGAGGTGCTCATTATCTGAAAAACAGCTGGTTTCAAGTTGACTTTGGAAGTTGGACTAAAGTGACGAGGATTGCAACCCAAGGAAGAAAATATGCCTACCAGTGGGTGACACGATATCGTGTGTCTTATTCCTACGATGGGATATTCTTCAAAGACTACACGGAAGTAGCCTCTAATCCAAAGGTACTTTAGCATTAATATAAAAATAATCGAACCTTTCATCGGTTACCACCAATGCTGCGAAGATCTAGTGGTCGTTCTCGGGAGGTGGTCGCATGCGAGAATCGAACCGGGGGTCCGTTTTTTTTCTTTTCATTTCAAGAAGAGATCCATTCACATCTAACGTGAGGCACGAAATTTTTGCAGGGGGTTTATTTTTGCAGATTGGCAATTTTTTGTGTTTTGCGGGAACTTATTTTTCCGATTAGGACAGATTGGTTTTACTTAGAATTAATTTTTGCGATTTTCAGAAAGTACCCATGTACCCAGCATTGATTATATCTTCGTTTTTATTGAGTACGTGCAATAGAAATACATATTTTCAAGCAGTAAACCAGTATTTAGTTGTTTCTGAATGAGAGAGGCAAGTTGTGATTGCCATGACAGACATGATTTCGTAGTACTGTATTTTTGAGTCGTGAATTTAAGTTGGAGAATATTTACTCTGGAGATAATTTTTGCGGAAAAAGTATGTGCGATAATTTTTATTTGCGGGAACTTATTTTTGTGGATCGCTGGAAAAACCGCAAAAATTGCAAAAATAAGAACTCGCAAAAATTTCTTGCCACACGGTATTTTAAGAGAGGAAGAACGTCTACTTTTAAAAATTTCAAAGCATGGAATTCATAGCATGTATTTTCTAAGTTAGGGTATGCATAGTTCCATGTTGTACTAAAATTTGCCCACGTACTGTTATTAATTAGTGAAGTGCATACATGCGAACACGGTTATCAAACTATGCATCAAGAAAAGGGAACATTTAAATCCGTCGCCACAAAAAGTGGTCGTTTAAAGTGAATGGGACATCCTTATTCTGGGGAGAGGGGAACGAAAGTCTAGCAAATTAATAACTATGATGTATAGTTTTATGTCAAAAAGTCGTTGAACCTAAAAAAAGTGTTTTTTGAACTTTTTGTTTTGAAATTGAAGGTCTTTTCCGGCAACTCAGACAGAAATGGAATTGTCACTCATGAGTTGACGAATCCTATCATTTGCCGCTACATTCGAATCCTTCCTACTGCATATTACGCCTGGGTGTCGCTTAGGGCTGAATTCTATGGCTGCAAAACAGGTACGTAGGTACCCAGGGTCAGTCAGTGAAGTATATCACTGAAAGTAACTCCGACTCTCCTACTTAATTACGCGTTAGTTTCGTGCACGCCGTTTAAAGGTCACTTCCTCAGTCCACAGGGAACCCATCTGGGCGCCCGTAGCCCAGCTGTAAACACAGAAGGGAAGTTGTAGTTTTCAGTAAGTGGTTGGAATGAAGTTGATAGGGTTTTGGGTCGTGTAAGTTGACATGAATAATAGTCGAACCCAGGTATGCGCCCTTAAGTCTTGCACGAGCTTGCAAAGTAATGCGCGACGTCTGACCAGGGCTCCGTAAGTTTAACCCAAGATTAAGCCAAATTTTAAGCATAGTTTCCTTGTCTACGAACTTGTAACTCAAGCTAACAAAATACTGATGAGTTCTCGCTCTGAGATACGGTTATGATAACTCAAAATGTTTCTCTTAGCATGCACAGGAAGGTAAATACTTGGTTAGCGCAAATTGGCCTTTCAGGAACCGGGCCCAAGATTGTACTTTCCAGCTAGATAGATAGATAAGCTAGATATGTCTGTTAAGTTTTAACTGAGCCAAGAACACACTTAGTTGGTTGCTACAGTACTATAAGAGACGCTCGAATGGACATTAAGTTCAGAAAATCAAATGGTTAGTCAAGGTTTTTGCCTTAACCAGTGGTCAATTAAATAAAACTTTTACATGGTGTAATCTACCGGAGTAGCTGTTGTTTTCAGACTCTAAAACAATGGCTGTAATTGTAAAATACACTTTCAAAGTTTTATTAAATTGATCCCAGTGTAAGTTCAAAGTTGTGTACCATCCTGATCACGGCCTACAGCCAAACCTGTATGAAGCTGTCACCATTGGGGAAAAGATCTCGGGCCATTTAAAACAGGTTTGACAAACCTAAGAAATATTCAAGAACATGGATATGGTGAAAGAGCCAAATACCGTAAAATTCCGAAAATAAGCCCCGGGGCTTATATTTTTCAAAGGCCCTTTTTGAGGGGCTTATCTGCGGAGGGAAATTTGCGTTTCAAAATCGATGGGGCTAGCCTTATAAATGGAAGGAAATTTACCGTTTTTGCCTCGTTTTACTTGTGTATTTGAGGGCAATTTTCAAGTACAAGCCCCCCGGGGGCCTTATATTTCGAGGGGCGATTTAGGGGCCGACCATCTGACGGGGGGAGGTGGGTGGGTGATTTTGGAAAAAATTTCCTGCAAGCGCTTGTCGGAAGAAAAAAATTGCATGCAGCACAAATGTAATAAAGAGCTTAAGGGAAAAAAAGGGAAAAAAATATCCTGCCCACCATATTGCTAGAAAAAAAAATTCTTGATGACCAGAAATCACCCACCCCCACCCTCAAGAGTTAAATGGTCGGCCCCTTAACGGAGGGCTTTTTGCGGTACGAGTTTGTGGGGCTTATACATGGAGGGGCTTATTTTCAGAATTTTACGGTATCTATCCCCTGAAAGATCGAGCTCGTCTTGTCAAAATGACCCGTTTTGCTAGAAAATAGAAAAGAACTCGTAAGGAAAAGGTGACCGCGACCGTTTAATAGAGGGTGACCGCTAAATACAGGTTCGCTTACAGTAGAGGTTTTAGTGTATATCGTTTTGTTATCTAGTTGCTATTCATGTAACTGCTGTCCTGTTGTAGGTTTTCCCATCCCAGAGCTACCAACTTGCAGGCATCCGCTGGGGATGGAAAGTGGCCACGTCCCGAATTCCGCAATAACTGCTTCCACCAAACTGTCTTCAGCATTTGGTCCTGAGAATGCTAGACTTCATTACCAGGGTGAAGCTGGGCGAGTTGGGGCCTGGATACCCTTACATCAAGACCACAGGCAATGGCTTCAGGTGGACTTCGGATCTGTGACACAAATCACGGGTATATCAACTCAAGGTTATTACAATGCCGATCACTGGGTTAAGAGCTATACCCTGCAATATAGTGACAATGGTTACAGTTTCAAGCCATATCAGCAAAACGGGCATACCAAGGTACTGACTGGTTTTTTAGGTAGCATGTAATTGTGTTCGACGTTGGGAGAACGCAACCTAAACTTAACGCACGAGAAGGCCCAGTGAATAAATCTCACCTATTTTAAAGGAGATTTCCAAGCTGCAAGTAAAAGCCCCAGTTAATCTAAGTATCATGTTACGATAGTGTCTTCAATTTCCCGACGTCAATTCTTGCTGAATATTTTGCGTTATTTTTTCACATGTCGTCATTCATTCACATTTTGGCCGACATCGTCCTTCATTGTTCAAAGCGCATATACGTCGGCATTGCACACATGTACTTGACATAACTTAAAAATTAGCTTCATGTTGCAACTAAATTTGCTAACCCTTGAATAGTGAAAAAGTGAAATAGCTAAGCGAACCAGGTTTTTAATGCGGTCGAACAGTGTACATTGTATACTAAGTTACACTCCCTAACAACCATGAATTTTCTTTTTAAGACCTTTGACGGAAATGTGGATCGAATGAACGTTGTCAGTCATGTACTGAACCCGCCTATCAACGCAAGTTATATAAGGGTCATCCCTGAGTCCTATTATCTTTACGAAGCACTGCGGTTAGAGTTTTACGGCTGCAAAACAAGTAAGACATTTTAAAGCTGATTGTTTACTCTTGGGAGATTATGAGACCTCTATTTTCGATCGAGCATTGAACGTACTTGTTCGATGCTCATATATGCTGCCCCAGTCATGGTCCCTAACGGACCTCTGCACTCTCCCCAGATTTCGATCGCCAAGTAGAATCAAGTCAAGAAGGTGGCCTTTGATACTAAGCTCTTGATGTTAGCCATCACGTACACAAATAAAGAACGCGAACAGTCTTAAGGGATAATTGTTGCGGTGAATCAAAGTTGTTGTTTTCAGACTATTGCTGCTGAAATCGCTTTCTCTTAAGCCAATGGAGGTTACTCGCAATTATGATGGGGGGTGGTGGGAGTTTAAAGAATTATATGCTACCACCACACTAATAAACTTCTTATTATTTTCTGTAGAATGAGGTCCTATGGGCGCCATGAACAAGGATACTGTGGGATTTGAGCTAACTTTAGGAAAGATGTGATTTTGGAAATTGCAGCAACAAAACTAGGATAAATATAATAAAGGGGCAGAGCTTGGTAAAACATTATTTAAAGTAGAACAAAGCCGTGGATGTGATATTGGTTTAGTATGGTAATAACCATGCAATGCAATGCCATGTCTATATCATGGAAGCTGTGATATTAATACAAGTATAAAGGGTCATGATTTATAAGGGGGGTATTTGTAATTTGAGAGTTAGAAATAAAAGAGTATTTACAGCCGTATGTTTCGACTCAACTGCCTCAAGCTCTCTTGATACGTATGTGTTAGGCGGAACCGGGGGATGGGCTGAGGGATACTTCCTTATTCATGTTGGGGCGTACCGCCGCTCTAACAAAACAAAACCAGTACAGCTGATATATTGCTATGATAACTGGACTGGCTTTTCGGTCAAGAACGTCATTTAGCCCTTTTGTGTCAAATGCTTATAAAGAGACATCATTTCATTACCTAACAAGAATCTCCGAAAGGCGATTTTTAACTGGGCTGCAAAGGGGCTATTTTTTCTGAGGGGAGGGGGCGGCTATACACTCAGGCTACCATAAAACCTTGACGGCAACCATTGCATGTAACAGAATCTCATGTGAGACTGAAACACAAACTCATTCAAAACATTGTACCCTTTTGAAAGACTTTCGTAACCAAAAAAAAAGAGTGCCATTTTTAAGTGGGAGCTGTACAATAACTTTTAAATTCCACCATTATGAATCAAAATAAACAAGTTAGCCATTAATTCTAAACAGGAAACAATTTGCGTTATTTCCACGCACCCCTCCCCCAATCCCTCTGTGCCCTAAAATATAGCGTGACAGTATAACGTGACTAATTTGACGTAACCGGAAATTCCAAAAATTGTTGTCCTTCTACGAGCATAAAATGCGACAGACTAAGCTGATTTACACTAGACAGAAATATTGTATTGTATGAAAACCAGAAGTATACTAAAACAGATAGTTAACTGCCCATTGATCCCGCCTGATCCAGGGGCCTCACTGACTGCACGGAGACTTTACTGCGCTTTTCACAAACATGCGAACTCTAAAGTTCAAAAGCCACCTTCACAATTGTGTTTATCGCTGCCGTCAATCATAATTACGATCACAAGCAACGAACCTTGAAACAGAGAAACATACAAAACGGATCGAAATCCACAAATCACAAACCATGACCTTTTGAACCGGTGAAGTAAAGTTTTGTTTCCTAAGAGGTCCGTTAAGATGATTGACAGCAGCGAAAAACGCAATCGTCGGTTGGTTTCTGAACTCCAGAATTCGCATGTTTGTGAAAAGTGCGATCCTAATTTGCGGTCCACAGTCTACATGAAAACGCACTATTTTTTCCACAAGATGAAAAGTATTCAGTTTTAAGATTTTCCTCACGGTATTTTTCTCTAACTTAGAGGAATAAAATCCTTTGCATTTTGAGACCTAAAAAAGTTTAAAGATTTCTCGCTCGCATGTTGCGTTCACCAGCACGCACTTCAAACAATGTAAAAAGATGAAACGATCGATAACATATTTTTTACCTGATACCGATGTGAGTTAAAAATTCGCTCCAGTTCTGTTTGTCTCACCCAAGACTAACTTTTCTTCATGGAAACTATGCCGCTTTATAACTCGTCCGAGGTTTTTGTGCAAGCTAAACAATATGGAAACACTATTCACAGTGACTCCTTGGATATTAAAAAGACCGAACGTGACGCACTATTTTGCATGCCTTTGTTTACTTCTGATCACATCTTCAAGCGAAGTCTCTCTTTTCAAGCGATTCATCTCAATGCACAATAATTGACCCTTGTATTAGTTAAAATCCTATGGTTCATTTATATTAATGCTGTTTTCGCCCCTCACATTGACTGTGTTCGTTCGTATTCAAAACACCTTTACGAAAATAAAGGTCGTATAAGTCATGTGTGTTATGTTTCGAGATAAATGGATTATACGCTTTTTTAAGTTTCCATTTTGCGGTGACTTCAGTTTACATCTCCATAAAATAGTAAAAGAAATATCAAGAAACATCACGAGAGCTGAAAATTTTCAAAGGCATGTTTTTGAACTCGCTAATCCTGACATCAATATAGCGTGCTTGCTGAATGGGCGAAAACACAGAATTGTGATCACAAGATCTTGTACAAATTTAATGACAAAAGCTTAGCAAGATACAGATACAAACAAAAGCAAACCCCCTGAAACCTCGACCTGGGCTACACTTGTATGCTCTACTCAGTCACTAAACCTTGTCAGTAATAGCTCCTATTTTCCTCAAGTCGCTCTCTGTGAAGCTCCCGGATGGGATGTCCCGGAGAAGCTTTAAACTTGTGTGCGAAATTCTCAGAGTTCCTATTTTTGTCCGTGTCTTCTTTATCCTCAGTATCCGAAATTTAGATCTCCAAAGTGGCGTGTGTTGCATTAAATAGAAGGAAATATTTAAAGGAAAAGCCAGTCTTCTAACATGGCAAAGTTGTCACGTCCCTCGCTTATGGACGTGCCTCACATCAGGATTATTCATCTGCCATTCATCGGCAACTGAGTTGTTCGCTTCACTGACTATGACGGCTTACAATCAAGTCTTCAGCCATAGTGTCGTCAACTGGTGAAATACTTTGGGCTAGATTGCAGAATACCCGGCCCACGAAATATCTACCATAAAAAACTTGCTCCCGCAGTGCCGCAGTGCCGCAGTCCGTGTTATTAACACAAAAAACTTGCTCCCGCAGTGCCTCAGTGCCGCTGTCCTCAAAATTAACTTATCCGGCTTCCTTTGCTTAATCGAGCGCATCGATGGCTTTTAACGTTGAACAACAAGTCGAACAGAAATAAATTAATTTTGTTCTATCAAGCACAAATATATTACTTTCGTTTTATCTAGAAACATGATGCAAACACACTTTCGAACGCGGCAGATTGTATATTTGATTGACCCCAAATACACGCGCTCGAGTCGGGTTTTCCTGCAGTTACTACACACTAAATCGCTTGGGCCAAAACAAACTCTACACACATAAATTATACCTCGTTCTTTTATCCAGTTGACCCCAAATACACGCTCCCGAAACAAGCACTCAACTCCGAAAGCAACTGCAAACACATGAATGAACCTCTTTCAATTTGTTTTTGTTACGCCGAAACATGCGGGTTAGCCCGAACTTTCCTACGCAGCCGTAATTTGGATTGTTCAGGGGTGTTGCGTGACCAGCCTCGCTGTCACGGACATGATCGTGATCTTTCCACACGACAAAGACTAAACATCGCCTTTTCAATTTGTTTTATTGAGCTATCCTATTGAATACAAATTATAGACACCGCATTGTATCCACAAAGTTTAAAACATGAAATAAGCTATAACTTTTCGCCAAGTCTGTAATATTGGACAAATGCCTCAGACCTCAACTGAATTATACTCACAACCAACAAATTTAGTGAAAATTCCAACACTTCTTTTATCCTGTGACGCGGGTAACAGTTCTATAATTTTACATCTTAATTTACTGGATAAATTTTCTTCACATCTCGTAAAAACATCTCAAATAAGTCATTGTCTTTGTTCCTATAGCGCCACATGAATAGCCTTCTTCAGGTTCGCAACGCCTTGTGGGTTTTTCAGGGGGAGCGCAGACAAGGTACAAAAAGTATCCGTGCAAGGGTTCATGCAAGAGAAAACCCTATGAAACCATTTGTGAGAACATCGTTTCTACGTCCCAGACCCTCGTGTTTTCCCTCCCCCGGATGACCACTTTGTGACACCGACGACCGAAAACCCATTTTATGACTGGGCTTGCCGGGCAGCCCAGTAATGAACTATAACGCTCCTACAGCGGCGGTCAGTTTCGCTTGCTTGGAGATTAGATCGAGAAACGAAGAGGCGATCAATTCTACACGAAACAGGATTTACTCACTAAAGGTTTTTCCTTTCCTACTTTATCGTCGTCAGTACTTTTTTATTTGTTTCTGAATTGATTCAGTACGCGTGTTAGCGACGACCGGAAATACGTCTGCGGTCGCAGGCTTTACGCGTGGATAAATACACGCTAAATTCAAAGGCCTCGGTTCCAGAGAAATTACAACATTGCCAGAGATCAAATAAGTGATTTACATGGCATTTCAATCATCGCCGAAAATAAACCGCATGCTAATCACAAGACTCATATGCATACAATGAAAGTTTACAACTGACCCAACCATCGCAGTTTTGCTAAGGTGCTCTTAATTTTTTTTTTCGACCACTCAGTAGTGTTCATTTGTTCCAAAGTAATCAAACGCTTTGAAGCGATGGAATTCGTGGACCGACACGTTTCGGAAAAGCTCTAGATTTAATCTTTCCTATGCTTTCTTCGGAAAACATGGATGGCTTCGATCACGCAACGATTTTTTGTCCCAGTTTCCACGGTCTCCGCACGGAGACCGCCATGTAAATGCCGCGTCAAGTAAAAGCTAAGAAATTCAAGCCTACTGTATTACAAAACGAAGTGTCCTTACGAAGTGAAAATTGTGTAAATATTAGTTTTAAGCTTCCCTAGCACTTCATGAAGGATCTATAATTGTTTGATGACGTCATGTAAAAACCAGCATTGTATACGCCATAGTAGATTGTATACAACGGCTGCAGAGTGATGAAACTAGCATATTTACCGTTTGACCTGCGTGACAGCTAAACATTAATAGAACAATTCGCTGTGCTTTATCGACAAAAATTCATGTTTCGCTGACTCTACAAAGTAAACCTCAAAAAATCCCAAATCGATGTTCTTCAGTTCGGTAGTCTCCTTCACAGCTGTGTTTTATGGAAGTTTCGACAAAAGTCTTTTCGGGCAGTGTGGAGTCTACGACGCAAGCTAATATTTATACCAATTTTATAAAAACGAATGCTTTCCGTTACTTGCAACTAACGTAAATCACTCTGAGCGACCAATTCTCATCCTCGTGCTTGAAAGCTGTAAAATTAAACCCTGGACTTGTGCATAAATACATTTTTGAGTAGCTAAGCTAAGATCAATTCACCACCAGCAATTAGTATATACACACTCGGTGATCTTGGTGATTTAAGCAATCTAATTGGTTCGCTATCTCGGACAATTCAATAATATTCACCTCCTAGCGAGTAGATAATTTCTTTCTTTCCTTAGAGAACGATCTTTTAAAAGTCAACAAAATCCTAGGGTTGACTTTTTTAAGGCAAGAAAATACTTGGAAGGATACAAAACGGCGTTTTTCCATTTCCTGTCGCCGAGTTTTGTGCTAGACGGATTGTTTATACAACTACCGTTTATTCGCGTAGAAAAAGCCGTTTCGTGAACTCAGCGTTTCGGCCTAACAAGAAAATTTAGCCCAAAATCGAAGTTTATTTATGAAAAACAAATTTGGAAGCAAATGTTTGCAAAAAATTCTACCTTTCAAGTAAACAGGACAAAGAATGGTACAGGAAGACGACGCCTTATCTCGAGCAACCGAGCCGCCATTTTTGTCAGCACTTCATGCGAAGAACGACACAACAAATCCTTTTGACTCTAAACTTGGCGTATCGACACAAAACAACAAAGCTCTACTTTTCTTCTTGGGAAAAGAAACAATTTAAACTTTTAACGGTTCCATTTAAGCCATGTGACGTTGTTGTTTGCGACGTGATAAACTTGTGAATTACCAAGATTTTTAAACTTTCGCGTGATTTGATCCGTCAATCAAATCGTACTTTTTAATGGTTTCCTCTCTGATTTTGTTGAGATCACTTCGTGTGTATATACTAAAACAATTATTCTTTTCAATCTCGGTGAATAGTGGCTTTAGGAATATTTACCTCGCTGCTTCGCGCCTTGGTAAATATATTCACCCACTATTCACCTTGATTTCAAAGATAATAAGTTATACCAGATGGGTAATTTTTTATTTTCAAAGAAGATCCCTTTGTGCGCAGCTAGTTATTTAAAACGTTCTTGAAAACTGAATGGAAATAAACAACGCATGCGTCATCAACCCAATAGTCCATTTAAGAGTTCGCTCGATCTGACCGCTGAATTAAAGAAGTGAAGACACATTTTTTTTACAGCCTTAGCCTCAATCTGAAGTAATATATTCACAAATTCCAACCGGAAAAAGACCTGTTTATTACTCTGTTTATTGTGTATATTCAAATTTCAAACACTTACTTGCCAGAATTTCTGAATATTTTACTTTACGTCGAGGCTAACCCTGTATATGAATGTGTCGTCAATGTATACCAGATGGGCATTTTTTTATTTTTAAATTATTACTTCAGATATGGATAAATTCATATTCTTAAACACTAACCGCATAATTTTGTTCAAAGAGGATCCCTTTGTGCGTAGCTTGATATTTCAAACGTTCCTTGAAATTCAATTTTTTTAAACTGAATGCAAATAAACAACGCATGCGTCATCAACCCAATTGGTCGATCGCTAATATTTAAACAATGTTTTACGTAGACCGTATAGAGGACGATCTTTAAACCTCCACATATATGTTTTAGTGTTTAGAGTTAAAACTGTTTTTATTTTCCTCATATTGGCTAAACTTCGTGAATCGCCCCAATGTGTTTTGTTTCAAGTTATTTTTGCAATGGTCCTTTACTGGAAAACGTCTTGACATTTCCCACACTCTCCTGTTAATGTCTTGTTTTTACGTTTCCTGGACGATTTTGACCGGTCTACCCAGGAAAACAGAGTGGGTTCTAGAACAGTGGCAAGAAATCAAGTCTAGAGGCCGTTAAGTTTTTATTTGCGAACTTTACTCACTTCAATTCCCCGCCTTATAAACAAATCAATAAAAATCGTAAAATTAAACCTCACCGTATTGTATTACAGTGTTGTAATTAGAATACAAATTTTCTTACGGCAGAAAAGAAAACAACAATTTCCTTTTAAGGCCAAGCATGGATTTTCTCCCCCTCTGACCCTAAACTTTTCAACAAACAACAAGAAGTCAAACAGGAAGACGCAAGCGAAATATCCCTTGGTTATTAATTAGCTTTTCGGGAATGCACATGCTTTGTATTTTAAAGCTTGTCACGAAAACTTAACTCGTGTAATGGAAGAAATATAATTGTATCTGGTTGTATCAAATTTTACAAACAAAAAAGTTAACTGGCATGACAAAGACAGCCATCTACTTTGAGGCTCACGGCTAAGTTCGTGACCTTTTTTGACTTCCGCCCTAATTGGGTTTATCATAGTGGCAACGTTGCCCCCTCCCTCCCTCCCCCATCCACAATGCTGTCGTACGATCAATATAACAAGAACCCCAAAACCATAAATACATTGGTCAAAATTTTATAATAACAAAAAGAGCAACGAATTGCAACGTCTTAAAGGCAGTCGTGTTCCACCCAAAAAAGAAAAAAGAATTATCTTTAGAGGATGTTTCCTTTCTTCTGCCTGCAACAAATATTTCTTGTGCATTCAGTAATGCCTTGGCAACTCGAGACAGGAAAATATAATGATTTAAAACATCCTTGGGCAGTCACTATAAAAAGCGGCATCTTACGAGCCGTAGTACTTCACATCAAGCACCAAGGTTCAGCGTTGTTCTGGAGTCGCTATGAAGACTACTGTGGCGATTATATTTCTTCTGCAAGTGTCATTAAGATTTGGTAAGTTTCTTTCATGAGAGTATTGCATATTTCTTTAAATGTTCTTCGGGATAATTCAAGAAGTACGTTGATCAGTTTTAATGCATGATTCGAGTAGATTGCATTTTCAGCTATTTGAAATTCAGCGTTTTCTAATCACATAGTATAATGGACCAAGGTTCATGGTAGTTATTTGGGATTTACAAGATTTAGAAAACCGTGCCAAAAGAGATGTCTTGCCGAGTAATTTTTAGCATGTTCTTTTTCGTGATACGCTGTCAAACAGACATCGCAAACTTATGAGCGTATTATAAACGTAAAAGGCTGTATGGTAGAAATTTTTTCAAACAAATCCACGACGGTCGAGATACCTTGCACGTGAGAGGATCCGAAGCTATCCTCCCCTCTTTGATGAGAATGAGCCTATTACAGACCAATGTCGTTCCCCAGGGTTGGAAAGAGTGGGAGAGAACCCTGAGAACGGGGTTGGTTCCAGGCCGTCAATCGATAGATAAGTGCGACTAAGGAAGACTACGACCGACGAAGAAAGTTGCCATTAAATGAAAGCCTGAGTCATCCAGGTGTTCGACGAGGAAATGCGAAACAGCTAACAGATATCGCTTACTTCTTACATCTCTTGTATGATTAAAGCCTGAAAGAATGTCCACTATAATCGCCCTGATTTCTTTTAAAAGGTTTTTCTGAAACGGCTTGTGATCAACCGCTTGGAATGCAGAATGGTGCCATTCCGGACTCCGCCTTGACTGCTTCCAGTAAGGCAGGCGTTGCTCATAGCCCTAAAAGAGGAAGACTAAATTATGCGACACCACCTGCTGCTTGGTCGTCTGGAGGTGCTCATTATCTAAAAAACAGCTGGTTTCAAGTTGACTTTGGAAGTTGGACTAAAGTGACGAGGATTGCAACCCAAGGAAGAAAGTATGCCTATGAGTGGGTGACACGATATCGTGTGTCTTATTCCTACGATGGGATATTCTTCAAAGACTACACGGAAGGAGCCTCTTATCCAAAGGTGCTTTAGCATAAATATGAAAATAATCGAACCTTCCATCTGTGACCACCAGTGCTGCGAAGATCTAGTGGTCGCATGCGAGAATCGTACCAAAGGGGTCTCTTTTTTTTTCTTTTTATTTCAAGAAGAGGTCCGTACACAACTACGTGACCGTGTGGCACGAAATTTTTGCGGGTTTTTTTTTTTTTAGCGGATTGGCAATTTTTTGCGTTTTGCGGGAACTTATTTTTCCGATTAGGACAGATTGGTTTTGCTTGGAATTAATTTTTGCTATTTTTAGAAAGTACCCAGTACCCAGCATTGATTATATTTTCGTATTTATTGAGTACTATACGTGCAATAGAAATACATATTTTCAAGTAATAAACCAGTATTTCGTTGTTTCTGAATGAAAGAGACAAGTTGTGATTGAACAGACACGATTTCGTAGTACTATATTTTTGTGTCGTGAATTTAAGCTGGAGAATATTTACTCTGGAATTAATTTTTACGGGAAAAGTATGTGCGATAATTTTTATTTGCGGGAACTTATTTTTGCAGATCGCTGGAAAAACCGCAAAAATCGGAAAAATTAGAACCCGCAAAAATTGCTTGCCACACGGTACTTCAAGAGAGGAAGAATGTCAACTTTTAAAAATTTCAAAGAATTTATTGCACGTATTTTCTAAGTTAGGATATGCATAGTTCCATGTTGTACTAAAATTCGTCCACGTACTGTTATTAGTGAAGTGCATACATGCGAACACGGTTATCAAACTATGCATCAAGAAAAGGGAAAATTAAAAACCGTCGCCACAAAAAGTGGTCGTTTAAAGTGAATGGGACATCCTTAGGGACGGACCATTAGAGAACTTATGGGGGGGGGGGGGGGCGGGCGAAGTACAAAAAAAAAAATATATTCGCGCAAGGGAAAAGTAAATGAAAAAAATTCATGCACGCCAATCAACCCTAAAAAAAATATTCATGCTATGGCCTAAAAAAATTCATACAAGGAATTTTGTAACGAAAAAAAATTCCCGCAGCTCGAAAACTTCCCTCTCCCCCCCTATAACTTTTCTAATGGTCCGTCCCTTAATCTGGGGAGAGGGGAAAGTCAAGAAATTTTCATAACTATGATGTATAGTTGTATATCAAAAAGTCGGTGAACCTAAAAAAGGTGTTTTTTAAACTTTTTGTTTTGAAATTGAAGGTCTTTTCCGGCAACTCGGACAGAAATGGAATTGTCACTCATGAGTTGACTAATCCTATCATTTGCCGCTACATTCGAATCCTTCCTACTGCATATCACGCCTGGGTGTCGCTTAGGGCTGAATTTTATGGCTGCAAAACAGGTACGTAGGTACCCGGTATCAGTCAGTGAAGTATTTCACTGAAACTAACTCCGACTCTCCTCCTTATTTACGGGTTAGTTGCGTGCACGCCGTTCGAGGGTCACTTCCTCAGTGCACAGGGAACCCATCTGGTCACCTGTAGCCCAGCTGTAAACACAGGTGGGAAGTTCTATTTTTCAGTAAGTGGTTGGAATGAAGTTGATAGGATTTTAGGTCGTGTAAGTTGACATGAATAATAGTCGTAACCAGCTCTGCGCCCTGACGTCATGAACGAACTTGCAAAGCAATGTGCGACAACAATGGACCAAGTCCCGTTCCTCGAAAGATAGTGAAGTTTAAATCAAGATTAAGCCAAATTTTAAGCACGGTTTTCTTGTGTATGAACATGTAACTCAGTCTAACCAAATACTGTTCAGTCCTTACTCTGAGATACAGTTATGTTAGCACAAAATGTTTTTCTAAGCAAATTGCACAGGAAGTAAATACCAAAAGTGGAGCAAAATTTGATCCTGGGTTTTGGCTAATCAGCCTTTCAGGAATCAGGCCTAGGGTTGTACTTTCCATCAAAAACTGGGTATGACTGTTAAGTTTTAACTGAACCAATAATACACTTGGCTGGTTGCCACAGTACTATAAGAGACACTCGAATGCATGGACATTAAGTTCAGGAAAATTAAATGGTTAGTCTAGTTTTTTGTTTTAACCAGGGTCAATTTAATGAAACTTTTACATGGTGTAATCTACAAGTGTAGCTTTTGTTTTCAGACTCTAAAACAATACGGCTAAAATTGTAAAATACATTTCAAAAGTTTTATTAAATTGACCCCAGCGTAACTTCAAAGTTGTGTAGATCAAGGCTTACAGCCAAACCTGCATTAAGCTGTCACCATTGGGTAAAAGCTCTCGGGCCATTTAAAACAGGTTTGACAAACCTAGGAACATTCAAGAACAAGAATATAGTGAAAGAGCGAAATATCTATACCCTGCAAGATTGAGCTCAAAATGACCGTTTGCTGGAAAATAGAAAAGAACTCGTAAGGAAAAGGTGACCGCGACCGTTTAATAGAGGGTGACCGCTAAATACAGGTTCGCTTACAGTAGAAGGTTTACTGTATATCGTTTTGTTATCTAGTTGCTATTCATGTAACTGCTGTCCTGTTGTAGGTTTTCCCATCCCAGAGCTACCAACTTGCAGGCATCCGCTGGGGATGGAAAGTGGCCACATCCCGAATTCGGCGATAACGGCTTCCTCCAAACTGTCAATAGTATATGGTCCTGAGAATGCTAGACTTCATTACCAGGGTGAAGCTGGGCGAGTTGGGGCCTGGATACCCTTACATCAAGACCACAACCAATGGCTTCAGGTGGACTTCGGATCTGTGACACAAATCACGGGTATATCAACTCAAGGTTA